AGTTATACTATAATAATATTAGTATTAAGGATATTAAGAGAAGTAAGTAAGGAATTTATAATAGCTATATATATCTTATAAAAGGCCCGAACTTCTAAAGTTAGGTCCCGAATAGCTATAAGTATTATATTATTAGTACTTAAAGTATTAGTAATAAATTACTTAGTAATCTTGGTAGTGAGCTTAGTAATAAGATTAATGCTTTAAAAGTAGATATTATAGTATTTCTTTAAGGAATTAGTAAATACCTAAATATATTAGAAAAAACTTACTTTTGGGATACTAACCCAAATAGTATTATTATTTGCCTTATTAAGACGGGAAGAAGAATTCCGAAGCTTATTAGAGTTCTTCTAGTTTTTAAAGACCTAATTAATAGTATTATTTTTATTAGTATAATACTATTTAGGATATACTTCAAGAAATTTTTTAAAGATTATAATAGTATTTTCCTAGAACTAATAAGCCTCTAATAAATAATAAGGAATCTGAAATTATATTAGCTTTAATAGATATTAAAGCTAAAGAACTTACTAATATATAAGACTTAGAACCCTTATTATAATAGTTATAATTTTTCTTACTAGGTACTATAGTATATAAGATAAAGGAATTAATAAGCAAATATTTGAAATATTTTAAGTATTTACTAGTAATAGGAAAGGAGACTATAAGGTTATCTTTATACTTATTATTATATAGACAAATAACGAAGCTAGAAGAAGATATTATAGAATTAATTAAAAATAATTAAAGAAGACTTGGAAAAGAATAGAAGAAGAGGCTAGAAGGTAATAATAGAAAAAGTTATTATATATATAATTATTAGAAAGGAAAAAAGTATATAGTAATATAAAGAGGTTCTTTTATAAAGGTAGAGAACTACCTGGATTAACTACTAGTTTTCGAGCTAGTCCTAATCGGAAATTAGTATAACTAATTAATATATGCTTCCAGAAGCTTATAAATAATCTCTAGGACCTTAGAAATATTTATATAGGTTTCTTATATAAATATTTATTAAATTCTTTCTATATAGCTATTTAGATTATTCTAATACGAGATCTAATAGATAGTATTAATTTTATAGGGTAGTGCCTTAGTATTTTGGATTAAGCTAATTAGGATACTCAGATTCCAAATAAAATCGCAATTACTAGCTAGTCTCTATATCTGGAATATAATTATTCTTTTTTCTTACTTACTTAGTCCTGATCTAATTAGACGATTTTTATATCTATTACCTAGATTATATTAGTAAATCTATTTCCCAAGATACTAGAAGTTTATCTTAATTAAATATATAATTAATTAAATATTTTACTAGGATAAATTAATAGATCTTGGGAATAAGATCCTAGAAGAGAGGTATAGTTATAATATATATAGGGTTATATATAACTTAAGAATATATAATGAACCTCGGATATTACGGGTATTAATTAGGGAGATTAAAGGCCCTTTAATATTATAACTAATTACTATTTATATTATAAGTATTAGACTTATAAATTACTAATTATATATATATTATTAGGGCCTCCTATTTAGAGGGGGTTTCCCTGGACCTTATAGGAGGGATAGAGATTAGTTCTATACTAAATTTAATATTATGGTTTCATAACTTACTAATTCATTCTATTATCTTATTACCTACTAATAAATACCTTATATTATTATTATATAACTTAATTTATATTTATATTATTTTTATTATTTAAAAAAAGCTTAATTACTTAATTATAATATTTAATTATAATTAATTCAAGTAGTAATATATTACTAAGTCTAGTTATATTTATTAAAATCTAGGAAAGTTAATTAGTTATTATATACGTGATTTAAATATTAGATTAGTTTAATTATAGAGGATATAAATCCTTTATTATACTATATGTCTTATACTTTAAATATCTCAATCTTAATTAGTTCTACCCTTATATTTAAAGCTTATTTATATACTAAATACTACTTTATTTATATAATTATTATAAAGGTTTTATAATTAATATACGAAAAAATAATCTGATTAATTAATTAATTCATGAATATTTATAAATAGCGTAAATAGAATTTGATTAATATAATACTTATATAATTTAATTAGATTAGAATAATTAATTATGATTATTTATGAATACCTTGATTGATATACACGTGACTATACCACGTGATAGTCTAGCCTAATTAAGTAAGGTTCTTGCTCTAGTACTGCCTTAGCGAGCTTTTCTGTCTAGAAGCAGGTAGTACTAGAGCCTGATCCTTACCTAATTAGGCTAGCCTGTCACATGCTGCGGTCACGTGTATATTAATCAAGTTATTTATGAATATTCATGATTAGCTTAATTAATTCGTGAATAGAATATGATTAATGAGAAAATTTCGTGAATAGATTAGATTAATAGCCATAAATCTAATCTAATCTATTTATTTCTCACACTGTTTACGATTGAGGTTGAACTCTGAGTCGAGAAAGAGACAATTGTGAGGAGGACAAAGCAATGGTTAGGATTGTCAGGTCATAAAGCAGAGGAGTCAGGAGGCTTTGCAGCCCATCTTTACACGAAATATTCTACGTATTCGTTTTATAATGTTGTTCGCATGCTAGTGCGATCTTAGGTATCTCAAAAGCCGCTCTACCTAGCCCACGGCTACTTCCACATATAGCATAATATCTGCTAAAAGCCAGGTCAAGAACCAACTGCTTCGGCAGCTTTCAGTGCAATTGCAAACCGTGACTTCAAATCTTCCGCATCCTCGAGACCAACGCTAATGCGAAGCAGATCCGCTGGCACGCCGAACCCTGCAGCCCAATCCAACTCAAAATAGTGTGCTAAGACAACATAGGGTGAAGTCAAGGTGAAGTTTGTGCCGAGACTAGGTCCTTTAGCAGTCTCGATACGATCGAAAAATGCAACCGCATGGTCCTTCTTGTGGAAAGTAAAAGATAACAAGCCACCATACCCGCCAGTTGGTGTTCGACAATCATCATAAAATTGCCTAGTAGGACTATACTTGGGGTAGTATACTTCCTTGACAAGAGGATGTGCTTGAAGAATATTGCAGATGGCTTCGGCATTGTCGTTGATTCTCTCAATCCGAGTCACGAAATCACGGCTATTGCGCTCCATGAACATAATATCCTCGGCCCAATAGTTGTCCTCGTAATCCGCTTCGAAAGCACTCTTCAAGTGCTGATAGTACCTTCCTTCGGGGTTCAAAATAGCGCAGCCGCCCATAACATTGCAGTCTCCCGAGAAAATCTTAGTGAGACTGCTTACAACCACGTCTGCATGTGGAAGGACATGAACGTTGATGAAATTTCCAATCGTCTCGTCAACAACCACGCCGAAGTCATAGGTGTCAGCCAACTTTCTAATTCGCTTTAGATCGGGGCATTTTAACATAGGATTTCCGGGGAATTCGCAGAAGAGGGCTAGATATTGTTCGCCAGCCTGCAGGCGGGCTTCCAAGTCATCCAGATCTTCCGATGAGCCATTTCCGTAGAAAAGACATCCGGGGCCAAATTTTTGCAGAATTTTAAGAGTATCAACGTAAGGGAAACCAAACGATATACTCTTCAGTCGGCCTCTGGACTCTAGCATCATCCGGTGAGTGTTGAAAATGGAATTCATTCCGCAGGGATAGAGATAAACGTCGTCGTCAGAAAGTCCTGTCACTCCACGCGAGTTTGAGGTCATCTTGGGGCTTGGTTCGACTGCAAGATCCACTTCGCCCACGAAAGAGCCAGCTATGCGCCGACAGATTGCTAACTTGGCGTTATCGACAAACGATATATCCAAATTTCGACCAAAATGCTCCTCCAGGAACTGCATGCTTTCCCGGCTCTCTGCTGCACCAATCGTAAGAGGGGGCTGAGAGTTTTCGACTCCTTTTTGGTATCTCTTTGGGCCTCTTTTCTGATTTAGTATTGGCTGCAGGGGCATGGAATCTACCAGCTTGCCATCCGAGAAGAGTGAATGACAAAATTCAGCACGTCTGCTTGAGATACCATCACCAGAGTGTTGCCAGTATTGCTTCGCTATTGGGAATAGATCTTTGTGGAAGATTATAGCTGATATCGAGGGCGAGACCTTCGCAATGATCTCTGAAGTCTCTTTACTCTTATCGAGAAACAGATCAATTATCTTGATGTCTCCTGTAAAGCTGGGCTCTGCTTTTGCCTTTATGAAGTTGTGACATCTTTGGGCGGCCTTGCTGGATGGAAACAACAGAGCCTTCCGATCTGGGGTTCCATATTTGGCAATAATGTCATCCGCGAACGCCACAATAAGTTTGTGAATGAAGAATCTGTCATGGGATCAGTTTAAGACTTATCCAAGTCTGGAATTCCTAGACAATACCGTGGATAACCAGTTGGCATTTTGTCCATAACCCGCTTGTTACCCTCCTCGTAATCCACGTTATCAGCCCATGTTGGCAGAGACATACTCACAGCCTACGGAAAGTGTTAGTTTTGTGACTCACAACCTTGCACTCAGAACTCGCAAAAGCGTCGAAATAAACACATAACTTACATGGGGTGTGAGGGCTGGAATTGAGTCTCCAAGCTCTATGATTGACATCTTGAAATAAGTAATGCAAGAAGCTCAATTTTGTTGCAAAGAGAATGTTAGTATGAGTTCCGTGTTTGGTACCGTCAAAGTTTGTTGTCGTAGACGGGATGGTGAAATTCCAGGAGAGACTCCGATCGCGGGGTGCGCTGAGGTAACGGGACGGCTTATCCTAGTGGCTTGGCGGCAGAAGAGTGCAACTTTTTTGTGCTAAGTGCGGGGGTACCCGCCTCAGGAAAACTCTGTCGCGATTTCCAGTCCAGTTGCAGTTTTCAGCATGCCCCATCCCTTCGCGATTACTAGATTGCGTCTGCTCGCTCCATAACGCAACGACTGCCGAAGCCTATCCGTAACCACCTTGTTGTGTAGCAGAAGCGCTAACATGTCCATCGGTTCGCTGACTTCGACGTTCACTCCCTCTACCAGTTGTCTCGTATCCTTCTCTACTATGTACCGCATATAGTAGTGTCGCCGCCGACCGTGGCTTTTACTTCGCGGGCCCCCGGCCCCTGTCGACATCAGGTTGCATGCCTGAGACCTTCCAGTTCTCCAGCATCAACTATTACTCCCCAGGAATCTGTCCTGTAGGGTACACGACTGCATGCCACAGCTTAGACTTGATAGGGACGCTTTCCGAAACGGTAGTGACGTGTTGTCCGACGTTCGTTCTGTAGAAGCCGTGTCCTGCAAACTGAGCTGACGGTGGCACAGGCCCTATGCATACAATAGCCTGCCGAACTTGGGGGCGTATCCTTGGCAATATACTTTTGGTTGCCAATCAGCCTTCGGCTCTGGAGATGTTTTTCCGACCGCTGTCTTTGCCTCGGGAACAGCACATGTGTCTACAGGGCCAACCACCGCACTTGAAGGTGCTGCGAATGCCCTTAGCGTCCAGATAAGATACCAATCTACTGACTTTCAATCTTTAATACCTGTAAGTTACATACTTCTCTATACTCTTGCCCTATTCAGTCATTGACCTTTTAGCAACAAGGCCCCAACACCTACCCCAACCTCAACGACAACAATTGCCTCGATATCAGCCACCGTTGGAGCTGGCAGCGGCGGCGACCACGTGATCAGCCCTGGCGTAGTGGTGGGCATTGGCGTTGGATCTGCAGCCGTGGCTCTTTTTCTCGCCGATGCATTCGTGTTGTGCTTTGGGCCGTAGACGCCGACTGGCTGAGAATCCGTCTGCGAGTCAAGGCCTCACCCAGAAGAATACTATTCCAATCCATACGAACACAGCGGCGTCGGGATTCCCAATGGCGGAAGTGCCTGCGGAGCAAGTGCGACGGTTAGAAATGCCAACCTTGCCAAGAGGCTGCCGTTCAATTGAGTCGATATCAGCGCCAGCCTTGATCCAACAATCTCCACTCCCAACCCACAGATAACTTTCACACTGCTTTATATGTGTTTTCAAAAATGAAGAGTTATTTAAAGTACAGTGGGAGGGTTCTAAGTACCATGGCGTTAATTCAATCATGACGGCGTTATAAAATTGTTTGTGGTCTGGCTGTTAGGTTATTGTTTACAAGAATCACCGTAAGTTCTAGTTATTAGGTATGCCCCTCTCCAATAAAACCGACATCTAAGCTAACTTGCAAGTTCGTCATTCTTCCGTTAGTGGTCAGAATTGAGAGTTGTGTACGCTAGATGAAAAAATATAAGCCGAAGAGGCGAAGGCAAGCTGGCGGGGGAAGCATAGAAGGGAGCCGCCTCAAGCCCCCGCCTTCGCAACAACCAATTCACCCACAGCCTTAATCGACTTCCCACCCATCATATCAAATACCATAACGTTGGCCCCAAAGTCCTTACGCATCCAGCTCCGTAGCTCGACAGCCATGAGCGAGTCGGTGCCGTAGTCTGCCAACGTCTTCTCCGCATCCATGTCCTCCACGGTGACACCCAGCGCCCGCGCCACCTTGGCTCTCAGGGCTACCGTCACGACGGCGCGACGCTCCTCCGCGCTGCCCGCCTGCTGGAACAGCAGCGAGGGATCGGCCTCCTCCGCGACATCGGCGCGGGCGGCGCGTCTGGTGGTGTCCTGGTGGTGCCGCGAGTTGTTGTTGTTGAAGCCCGCGAAGAGCGGCCGCAGCGTCGCCGGCACGGGCTCCTCGCCGCGCGCCGTGTAGTCCCCGGCGGTGCGGGCGCCGATGAGCAGCTGGCTGTGCGTCTCGTCGAGGGGCGGCAGGGCCGGGTCGCAGTAGTGGTCGAGGATCTCGAGGAACTCGTCCGTCTCGATGGGCACCAGCTTGGGGGCGTTGGCCCGGATCACCTGGCTGTCTGCGCTGCGCTGGGCCACGTAGCCGACGGACCCCATGTAGCCGATGTCGAGAGACACGGATCCGTGGAGGCCCTGGACGGAGCGGGAGCGTGCGAGGGTGTCTTGGAAGACACAGCCCGCTGCGTAGTTGCTCTGCGATGGGTTTGCGTAGATGCGGTGCCATTCGTTGAAGTAATGGTAGAAACCATCTAGAATGGTTAGTGAGGAAACATCGACGATAAAACGACTCACTGATAGCCTCGACTTCGCCTTCATCGTTATATGTGTGGAAACATCCACCGGACTGCTTGGACCAGATGCTGGGCCTCAACACGGCGTCTAAAAAATCCAAATGTACGCCAAGCTTAATGCAAATTGCAAGGAGAGTGCTTGAAGTAATGTTTACTTGATCTGTTGTGCATCCTATACTGACCATTAGCTTCCGAGGCTCGAAGACTGACTGCCAGTCAGAACCTCTTTCATTTCGTAGGGAGCTCAGGAATCTACAGCATTGTCAGATAGAATATCCGGTACAGCGGGTATAATTACTTACAGAAACTGGAAATACGGTGCGTCCTTCCCTGTGTTTGGAGCCGCAGCCTTGGGCGTGGTCAACTTGTTGCAGGTAACTCGTTCTGGTAGATCCTCCCCGGCGATGCAAGTTGTAATATCGCCCCCCAACGTCTCGCACACTCTTGAGCCGAGTTTTCCAGAATCAAGGCGTCGGAACCGCAGAAGGTTCACTGAGGTCGGAGACCGGAGTGGTGATGAGTTGACAAGGCTGAGTGCGAAATGGTCGACATTCTGCTTTTGGACTTCCTCAAGCTGCGGAGTATATAAGCGTCGCATGCAAAGCAAGAGAAATTGAATGATAGTTTGGAAAGCTTGGACGGAGTGAGGAAGGCTGTGAAGAAGTACTATAGTTGCAGGGCGGGGGCCCGGCTCTGCTGTTGCGGGAAGGTGGATCACTGTTTCTCTTGTGTTCGTCGGGGTCGTACTGCTTGGCTGAGTTGCGCTTTGTATAAGAGGAATAGATGGATTCTTTGCAGGATAGTTAGTTAGCCATTAGCGGAGCACCAAGACCTGTCACAGTTTACCAAGTCGTACCCTATTACTAGGAGGAGGTTGGTTGCCCTGACCAACTCTTCTCGGGCTTCCCCTTACCCTCAGCGAATCTATCAAGTTGAGGGGGCGCTTCCACTGGATTGAATTCAGCTAGGAAAGTCAGTCATGGAGATAGTGCAGACGGAATAAAAAAGTTACTTCTCAATTTGTCGACGCTATTAATCCAAGCTTAAATAACGAGAGTGATCTCTCCACGTCTACATTACCCTGCCAGCCCCTCAATGCCAAAGGAAGCGCATGTATTCTGCGCAAAAACAGCATTCTGATTTTTGGTGCCCAATTGCTGCACAAGCAGTCCACTTTTCCCTCCCTATTCGTAAAAGATGTGTTCAATGTAGCGTTCTTTATATCCTCCATTAATATAAGCTTGCACGGCCTGATCCATCCTTCCATTTGGAAGCCATGGGTTATCAATCTTTTCCAGAGCCTTCTGAATTGAAGAGAAGATTTAGTGCATTTTTATCGTACCTTGGGCGGCCTGAAGCTTCGACTCCAAATATCAAGCACCTGCTGAAGTTTTTGCAAAAAATTCGCGGAATGTCGTTGCAAGCAGGTCGCACAACTCACCGAAGTCAGTCTCCGAGTGTGGTGCTGTCATCCTTGGATGGGGCGATTTGAAAGCACAATGAAGGATTGTGAGAGTTGCGGAGTCCATAATATAGAGGGATGACAACAAGTATGATGAGGAATTTTAGGCCTGATTGATCGGTTGCCGAATAGGGCAAAATTTAACTTGTATCAGGGACGTGCAAGCACATCCTGTTCCTAATGTTTTCGGTGTTGTTTGGTTGTGTCCGGCCTGGGCAACACCGGCGCAAGAGCGTTTCAGTACGAACATATTCTTATAACTATGGAAGAGTATTGTACGAGTATACTACAGTTGATTGACAGGGCTACGAAAAAGAGCCATTGTGGGAAGTGTGCGGGCACAATATTGAGAAGATGTACTGGTAGAAGGCTTCGGGCGATCGTAGAAGTTGTAACTGGGAGTGTTGAAGTGGCTATGAATCAAGAGAGAACTGAGAGTATTTATAGCTCTCGATGGGTGAGGCGTAGAACAGAGGCTCTATTTCTAATTGTTCCCAGATAGTATTGCACGTGATTGTGTGACAGGGCAGGATCTGAGCGGCACTATGTCAGTCAAAACAAAGTAGTTGATAGCTCAACGTTCTTTATTTCATCATTCTCTACCCCCTAGCTCAACGACCGATATTCCGTAATTCTCACACCTTAACCCAGCCCGCTCTCCACTTCTCTTCTCCTTCCTTCCTAGTCAGTATCTTAGAAACCTACATATCCATCGTCGTAGATATTGTCGTTCTGCCGACGCATTTGACACATCGGACATAGGCCTTCCAGAAATACGTCCACAGGTTCAAGAGGTCGGCATTTATGCCCCGTACGTCTTGCCCTCGCACAACGCAATACTCCATTCCTGCGTCGATAACGATGGCGGCATGCCCTATAGAGTGTGGATTGTATTTGACACATTGCGTTGATTGAGATAGTTCCCCGTTGCAGGTATTGTTTCCTGAACAATTCTCGAACTTGATTTTGTGGCTGTTTGATCCGGGTTGACTTCTATGCGTGGGGAGGGTGGAATGGGGAAACAGGGCAACCCCAACCGATGCAATTTATACTTCAAACTATCCCCGTTGTATCTTTAAGCTCCGTTTGTGGTGTTCCATATTATTCATTTGCATTATTTTGGCATTCGTAATGTTCTCCTTTTATTCAGTCGAAGCACTGGGCTGTCTGAATAATATTTGAGTTACATATTCACGGGGGAGATTCACCTCTACGTAAAAATGCGGGCTATTCACCCTCCTACGCTACGTCTTAAGCCCGGAAAATAGTTGTTAAAAACGCAAGACTCATTGCTCGGAAATAGTGGCATTAGTTGCAAAGGGTAAGTTAAAGTCCTTTAAGTTATTATTATTCTATATGGAATAGATCGCAATTCCATAAACAATTCAAGATATAACTCCTCGCTTAACCTTATACACAAATGCAAGCCCACCTTTTCCTAATCCAAAAGAACACCCTTCAAATCAGGCAGAAATCTACTGCGCCTTATCTTGCGGCGCTTTCTTCTTCTCACTCCCCTTATTTTCTTTCTTTGGATCCTTCTTGAAAAGTCCCAAAATTGGGCTCAACTTTTCCGCTATAGACTTACCAGAGCCCTTCCGCACTCTAATTATGTAGTACAGGAAGACAGCCATGAAGATGTTGAACGCAATATACGCAAACCCGATGCCATAGTCTCTCCACCGCGTGCCGTAACTTATCGCCACAGATTGCAGGAACTGATCAGCATTACTGGCTGTGCAGTACTGGCAGTCGGCCATGGCATCGGGATTGTAGATTCGTCCGCCGCCGAGTTGCGCGTAGGGAGTGAGGTAGGTGCCACAGGAGGTTCCCGTGGGGGGCTGCATTATTGCGAGTTCGTTTTCGGCGCATATTACTGGGCGCCCACTGAGGCCTGTAGAAGCGATTGCTGAGACGAGGTCTACATTCCCACGATCAGCACATGCAATTTTAGGATTGGGAAGGGGATAGACATAGGAGACTTACAAGTCAAAGGCGAGACCCTATACATGAAGATCCAAAATCCGGGCAATGCGTACGGCGGCTGGAAGACACCGTTGAATGTCAATGTCAGGGAGAACATGAGTGTTGCAATGTTGCCCGCCGTTTCCGAGTCTGGCAGGGCAGAGATGAGCATATGCGCAAACGTGCTCGCGAACACGAAGAACTGCACAATCAGCAACAAGATCAAGCCTTGTCTAACACTCGGTGGGATCCCTCCTTTTGTGTAGATGGGGTAGAAGTATGACGCGAAGACCAACACTCCAAGCAAGATCTGGTAGGGGATTTCGACGACTATGTTGGCGATGAGGAAGGCTTTCCAGCTATATGCTTTCGATGGCCGTTCCCGCACTTCGTAGAGATCACGCTGTAGGATGAAGCGGGGCATGATTTGCTGCACCAGGGTCGTGAAGATGGTTGTAATCATGAAGATCGAGAAGATCACATCTTGCAATCCCTGTTGCGTAGCATCTGCATGGAAGAAACTGAACCCAATAAATAGCGCGGAGGCGACACCGAGGAGCAGCTTGCTGTAAATGTATCCCGGCGTCCGCCAGTACTGCTGGAAGACTCGAATAGTCACTTCCCACAGCTGGGCAGTGAAGGGCATGGCGAACTCGGAGTGTGTGCCCTCGTTCTCTTCGCTGGATTGAGAGCCCATCTCGGATTTTATGCGTGCGAGCTCGTTTTGCGCTTCTTTTGCTTCGTTGCTGCTCTTCCAGACTTCATGCCAGTCTTTTGTAGATTTTCCGGAGGCTCCGGCGCCAACCATTGTCAACACTGCGGGTGTTAGTGATGATTATAGAGTCGGAAAAATGTGTAGAGCTTACTGTACTCGGCGGGATTGTCATCGTCGCCACACTTATCTGCTCCATTTGACGAGAAATAGTTTAGCAGTGTCTCAGAGTTCTTTCCAATATCGCCAAAATAGACCGTCTTTCCGCCCTTGGCCAAAAAGAGCAGTCGATCAAATTCCTGAAACAAGATTGCGCTCGGCTGATGGATGGTTGCGAGAACAGCTTGCCCGTTGTCCGCTAGCTTTCGGAGGAAGGAGACGATTGCCCATGATGACTGTGAATCCAGACCGGAAGTCGGCTCGTCCAAGAACAAGAGGAGAGCAGGCTTGGCAGCAAGTTCCACACCGATGGTAAGCAATTTTCGTTGCTCGACATTGAGACCTTCTCCAGGAACACCCACCACGGCTTCAGCGAAGTCCTGCATATTCAACATCTTGATGACATCTTCAACAAAATTATACTTTTCCTGCTTCGAGACAGTCTTGGGTTGACGAAGCATGGCCGAGAATCGTAGTGCCTCCCGAACCGTCGTAGTTTCCAAGTGGAGATCTTGTTGCTGTACGTAGCCGGTCTTTCTCTGAAACGATTGATCCAATGGCTTTCCAGAAACCAGCATATCACCAGTAACAACACCCATCGACACCCTCTGCGCAAGAACATCGAGGAGGGTCGTCTTTCCCGCACCGGAAACGCCCATAAGCGCCGTCAGCGTACCAGGCTTAACCCACCCAGAAACATTATCCAACAGCCGGCGAGGCTCGCCTTTGATCTTGATGTCGTAGCAGACATCTTTCCAGGTAAAGACATCAGTCTGGGGAGACAACACATTGACCTTCTCTCCCTGTTCTTTCTCTTGCTGCGCATCGTCTTTTCCGGCGCTACCAGACCCGGCGCCAGCTACTGGAGCTTCTTCATCGTGCTTCGCGGCTTTCTCAGCTTGTTCTAAATGCTTTGGGACATGGCCACGTCTGAAGACGAGGACTTCTGCCGTACTGCTGGTTGCGGAGTTGAACTCCGTAGCGAAAAGGTATACGAACAGGAAGAAAATCATGAATGCGAACATGAAACCCAGATTACGCCAGATGTGCGCGTACGAATACTGAAATTGGGATTCAAGGTAATCGTCTCCGGATACAGTGGTCTGCCCTACGACCGCACCGGCCACGGCACAGACGAAGTTGTTGCCCGTGAGGCTGTAGGCGCCGCCAGAGGGGACGAGGATGGAGCAGGTGAAGCGTTGGCCGTGGAGTTCATTGACGAAGAGACCTTCGAAGGCATAGGCAACGGGGTTGATCCACGAGATCCATTTGAACCATGGGTGCATCAGAGGGCGGGGGACTTTCGGAGATCAGCAGTAGAGGGGTAACATAGTAATTGATACTCACTAACGAAGCCGGTATAGATGACGATCGCCAAGGTTGTAACGCCAGCGATAGCAAGAGCTTGAGATACCGTCTTGGTTGATGCGGCAATACTCCGATAGATTTGAGACATCTGATGAACGTGAGTTTTCATTCCCGCTTCCAGTCAGAACAGACTTACAGTGAGAATTGCTACAAAGTTGAACAGGAAGAAGATGAAGAATTGCGAAGGTTCTCGCCTCAACCCAGCAAGGAAGTACAAGATAATATTAAAGCAAGTAGCAATGGAAAATTTCACCGGAATGTCCACTACAATACCGGCCATAGCTTCGGTGAAGGGATGGTAGAAGGCATAAGAAGCCTGTTTCTCAACAATAGGACGCTGACTGTACAACGTGTTGATTTCGGAGATGGCAATCAAAGCGTTCAAGAGAACAGCGAAGAAGAGAACGCCTCCCTTTTGGAAGAAACTCGAGGTATCATTTCGGGTGCCATAGAAGATTGATCCAATGATCAGTGCCATAACGATCTGGCCTACTATGGTAGTAACCGTCGATGTTTTGTCGTTCCAGAGGCGTTGATATGCGCGTTGTGTGCAGTACTTGACTTGCATAGGAATGCTGACCGTGTATGGAGAATCGGGTCGGACATGGTTTGCTTGCATGCCTTTTCTGCTTGCCTTTTCGGGGGTCAGTGTTGGACTCTGACAGATAATCCAAAAACGGGAGAAAAATGGCTTACCTGGAAATTAGCCAGAGTTTGCCCGCCCATGGGAAATTCTTCCTCGTGATCTTTAATCTCTTCCATCAGCGCTTTACGATGCTGTGATGCTTTCCAATATTTTTCAAACTCGTCCGCAGTTCTAGGGACCTTGTTCTCGAAACCCTCACGAACTTTTCTCTCCGTAGGATTGGTGACAGAAGTGAGGAAATCTCCCGTTGTCTGTCGAGGAGGACATTCCCAGCCCATGTCAATGAAATACTGCCTCGCTTGATCGCAGGGTCCGAAATAGATCTGTCGTCCCTCGTACAATACCACCGCCTTGTCGAATTCGTCATAGATGGCCTGCGAAGCTTGGTAGATAGCAACTAGATGCACCGATCCAGCGAGATTCGCAGACATTCTTAACGCTCTCGTGAACTCCAGCGCAGTGGCAGCATCCAGACCTCTGGTGGAGTTGTCCCAGGAAGCAATGGGCGAGCCAGCGAGTGCCATCTCTGCAATGCTGATACGTTTTCGCTCTCCTCCAGACACACCTCGGACGAAATCGTTGCCAACTTTGGTGTTATAGGTGTGAGAGAGACCATAGACGGCCATTACTACTTTCGCCATGTGCTTGGCCCAGTTTTCTCGGCTGACGCCTTCGATGAGACGTTGCTGTGGGGTCCGAACACGAGCGGCGAATTCGAGGGTCTCGCCGACTGTGAGATGGGGGAAATGCTTGTCGACTTCTTGGTTGTAGACTATTTCGCCTTTGAATTGCTTCAACATCTGGTTTTGGGTGATACCTGGAGGTCATTTAGTATAATGTCATATCATGGATGAGATGCCGTAGCAAATCCCAGAATCTCTCGATATTGAACTTCAGCAATAAGGTGAGGAAAAGTATACCATTATAATGAATCTCAGAGTGTGGCTTCATATCCAGCCCATGAAGCTCCCCCATGAGAGTTTTCAAAAGAGTCGAGCAGCCACTCCCTGGTCTTCCAAGAACCACAAGCATTTCTCCTGATTTCAGGACACCGTCAAACTCGTTCAGAATAGTCTTCTCTGGGCCTTTACTGAAGAATTCTCTCAAGCGAAGCGGTGACAGGAGGAGCGATCCCACGTTCTTTTGAAGATTGATTGCTGATCCGGATCCACAGACCTTCAGGTTCTTCCAGATTATCCCGGCTCGTCGTTGGATGACTTCGTTTTGGTCCATCAATCTCATGAGCCTGGATGATTGTCAGTTTTGGTGTTCGCGATCGCTGCTTGATGGCAACTGATCCTTTCACTCACATCCGAGACCATTTGTAGACATCAAACTCAGGAGACGAAGGATCAAGCACCGCATCACCAAGTTGAATCCCCGCCAGTGTATCCTTTCTTTCGAGGCCAGAAGACTGCACGGTCATTGTCCTCTGAAGTGCAACCGAGCCCGCAAACGAAGACGCAATTCTGTTCAACTCTTCCCGGTCCCCAGATCTGATGGGTTCAAACTGACGTCGTTCCTGAGCCGATCTGCTCGTGCGGCTAGTCTGTGTCCTCTCAAGCCCATCTTTCTCCTCGACATCTGTTGAGCTGTGAGAGGGAATCATGCTGGGTCGATATACATTCTCGGCATCATTGGGGGACTCTCGTGAGGGTTGGGAGTTGAGAATGTTCTCCGTCCGGATGGGCTGGAACTCGCGTTCTCCGGTTGACGCCATTGTATGTGAACCCGAATGCTCGTCAGTTCGAGTATCGTTGACGTGAGGAGGTGGGCGTGGGCACCTGACTGTGTGCCTCCAGATCGGGTGAGAAGAGCCACTCGCGAGTACGGTCCCTTCGACTCAATTTATGTTGTTCATATGTGGGAATATTGCACTGTTTAATTGTTTTTGTAGAAGTTGCGCGATGTTTAGTGTAGTCGTGCCCCGCCGTTGAGGTCATCGCGCGGAACATTCCTCTTATAAAGGCAAAGGCAAAGGCTAGCCTTAACCTTAGTGTTCGAACTCGGAGGTGAAAGAAAATACACCCCGTGCGAGCAGATCTCCCGATCTGGAGTTAACGCATTCCACGCATGTGAAGATAATTGATTGGCTCATTTGGCCATGAGTCAGCGAGATGCATGTACGACCTTTCGGTACTTAAGGTTATGTGCGACCTTTCGGCATCGTATATGCGCCTTCATCCGGAGAGAACCCCCAGCCTGCGCGTGCTAAACTTTTACCTATTGCAGCCGTAATAGCCATTGATCCTTCGCTCTCGGGTCTCATCGCATGTGTCCAGGAGGACGATCGGGAGGTATTCCCTCTCGCCCCTCCGCCCCTCAGCGGATGGTCGGTGGGTCGGTAGTCGTCCGCCCCGTGTCAGCAACCCTGCTTGCAGCAATTCAGAATCCAGAATTCGGACAGGCCGGGCGTCTTACATACATAATTATTCATCAAGTTGTGCCAAGCTAGGATGCCCGAAGGAGGCCTTCTCAAGAACCAATGGCACAGTTCGGCCGAGTGAAGGTGGAAGGGAGAGACGAGCGCAAAGAGAAGAGGTTGGCAATGGTAGTAGGATCTGCACAGGGGTGCCTCCACTCACGATAGCCGGAAAATAAAAGGGGGGGGGGTCTTGCCTTGCCTCACCTGCGCCGGAATCTAACTGCGAGTGCCGAGCCGGTCGAGACCAATGACGCTGTTGTGGTTGACGGATCGTTTTCGTCGTAAACGCAGTCAAAATAGACTCCCAGTTGCCAAAGCTCAGCCCCTCGAACCCCCACCAAAATGTTTCCTCCGCCGGACCTAGCGGACCACAGGCCAAACGGTTTGCATTTTTATCTCCGATTTTTATGCTTGGCTAGAGATCGTGCTATCCGGGCATTCGGTCGAGTAAACGCTAAGTTGTCGAGGCTCTGAAAGAAAGAATCTTGAGAGTCTCTGGTGACGCCACTGACATACGATGCGCGTTACAAGGAAACCCCGAAAGGCTCGGATCCCCTTCGTTTCCGCTACTTATCAACTTTTGTTTGATATGCAAATCTGGTACAGTATCGCGCAACTAAATGCGTTAAAGTTCCAGGACAATGATTATTAGGCCATCGATTAATCATCGTTTATTTATAGAAATTGTAAGCAATCGCAAAACTCCTAGCGATAACCTTCCCCTATAGGGCCGGACCTACTCGCTAAATAATTGATACCCTTATGATTCTGTATCGATTGCAATTAATTGTGCGATATTAGTAATCGTTGCCGAGCCTGTACAGTTAAACTTTGCGTGATAAATAACCCCATGAAAGCTTTGCTTTCTACTTCCTCCGAATATATAAATACTAGATGCAATATTTCATTCTCAAATATGTCGGTATGAGATAACCCGGGTATGGCTAGGGGCTAGAGCAGTCTTCTTAGCACTCATTACGCATTATTTTGATAAAAAAATCAGGTCGAAATTTCAGCTGCTGCTCTAATCCGGTTTAATTCTTAGATGGGAGAAATAAAGGTCCGATGATATAAGGCGAGACGTGTCGAGTTAAACAAAGTCTGCTAGAATCGATTCTCCCTTCAAGCCAAAGTTGATCCTCACCAAAGTTATAATTCCTTCCCCCATAGAGTACAGTTTTGCAAAGTCGACCATAGGTAAATCTGGTATTGCTTGTTTTGTATCGCGGGCATAACAAATCGATTCAGGAGAGTGCGATATGGAGGAGATGGAAATTCAATAGCCAATTTGAGTGATAAGTTCATAAAATTTTGATAATCACAACTCGTTAAGATGATTCGGGGCCTGGAACCGGCGAAGGCAACTACGGAACCGCGCAAATCCTGTCTGTTAAGTACAATGCAATAGTTTAGGAAAACTGATGCGATGTTTGAAGTCCTGCGGCAATGGAAAGATGCCCATCTGATTCGTCTACATGTAGCAAAAAACACTGCTTCTCTTCGGTAAACCCAAGAAATTGAGGGGTGCTCAAGAAACTATGGATAGAGTCAGATTTCCACAACGGGATTAGCCTAAGTTTTCTAGCGATCAATAGTAAACGAAAGAGCAGCTGGCATGCACTAAATTTTTAACGGCTTAGCTACAAAAGTCAAGTTCAAAAGCGTCAGTATCCCACATACCGAAAAGGGAAGGTGATGTTTCATGCACCAAAATCGTCCGACCCGCTTGAAGCTGATTAGCCGAGACCAAAGTAGCAGTTCAATTGTCTGAGTCACATTCACAATGTACGAACTCTCGTCAATGGGGCACTCTGAAGATAAATGAAAACTGGATAAAAAGTAGCTATATAGCACATCTCTGCTATCATCCTCCCACGATCACAGATTGCCTTCCCCCATTTCTTTAAACTAAAAATAAGGCCAATCCTCGACGATGGCGACGGAGATCCCACCCCCAATACCAGATCCCCTCCCACCCTGGGCCCGCCTTTCCCATACCATTTCCACGCCCCGACTGATTCTCCGTACAGCTCTCGTCTCCGACGCCACCGCTTTCACGAAATTATTCAGTGATCCGATCAACAAGTATGTACTTGTATCGTGTTGCGAACTCGCAGATGCGATTTTATACGAAGAGCAATTTCTGACTCTCATTACGCAGCCCCTTCGGTGGAGTGGTGGGGCAGTATAGGAGCGAGGAGCAGCAGAGAGAGAATTTGAGGAAGCAAGGAGGAAACGCGGGGAGTACTGCGAGGGGCGAGAACGCATGGCTCGTTGTGATTTTGAAAGAAAACCAACCTGTGCCTGAGGGCGCTGAGGCTTTGAAAGTACGCTTCCCCTTCCATCTACGAAGTGTCGAAGTCGCTTGTTACATAACACATTGACAAATTGTGATTCTGACTCAAAATCTAGGCTGCCGACGGGTTTCTGATCGGCAGTACTGGGTTTAATGAGTTTAAGATTGAGAAAGATGCGGAAGGAAAGGAAATCGTAAGGACGGATGTGGGTTGCTTGATTGACTGGCGCTTTCAAAGAAAAGGGTATGCACTTGAGACTCTAGAGGCGGTCATTGAGTATGGGTTTAAGAAGGTAGGAGCGAAGAAGATAACTGCTGACACAAATGTGGAGAATGAACCATGGAGGAAGCTGGTGGATGTTATGGGTATCCCTGTTGCTGAGATGAAGAAAGATGGCAGACCGAATGGAGAGGGAGGTAGTGTTCAATATCGGTTCTCGGAGAAGGATTGGGAGGTAGCGAAGATAAAGTTGAAGAGTGGTGGGAAGTGGTATTTAGATTGATGTTCTCAGCCAAGCAAAATGGTATATATCTAGATATGTCTATCCATCTTAGACGATCCTGAAAACAGTGCGCCCACGACTGTCCCTAACTCTTTGGCAGGATGAGCCATTACTCATAATGACACTCCTCTTATCGCCGACAGGAAGCACTATCTCCAAATCTTTCCAAAGCGGTACATACTCGCCGGCTTTCTCAACCTTCGCCGTAATACTCTCCACAGTCGAGCTCCACGTCAACGTAAATGTCGACATGCTCAATTTAGACGAAATTCCGTCGTCCTCGTACCAAACATACGAGTGCTCTTTGTTCGAAGCCCCCTTTGGAGGAAAGATCTCCACGGCTCGATAATCATCCTCAACCGCATTGGGAGAAGGAAATCTATGATCGCCAGTGGAGCGCGTCTGGAGATTCTTTCCTACCGCAATGGCTTCGCCGACTCGGGCGAGAAGAGGGATGCTGTCTTTCCACTCGGAATTGATGTCCACCCATTGGCCAGCTGGTAGATATTGATGAGGTTCATTGAGATTGAGGTATCCTAGATCTTCGGGCCCCTTTGTTGGGAGGTACATCCTCGCAGTCGTATTTCCAGGTTCGTAGACACCGCCGACAAGAATGGTGTCACCAAGCCAGTATTGCGTCTCACCGGCCATTACTTCGGGTGTCCAGACCTCTGGATCGGACTCATAGCCATGACCGATCCATCGCTGAGGTGGTAAGGCCGTCATGTGGCTCTGGAGCATCAGGGAGTATAGATAAGGTATGATCTCGTAACGACGCTTGATCGTGTCTCGGATGAGAGGAGTGATCTCGGGATACATCCACGGTTCGATAACACCGCCGATCGTGTTGTCATTTTCATCAGTCTTGAAGCAGTTGATGGCAAACCGTGGAGAATAAATGCCATGCTGGATCCAGCGGAGTAGAAGTTCTGGACTTGGCTGTGGACCTTCAAAGCCACCAATGTCATGACCATAGCACTGACCCATTAGCGAAGCTTCCAGGGAAGGGTTGAGGACATACCTGAAGCAAGCTGATGCCTGCATTGAGAGCCAACGAGTTCGCACCTTTCATCCCAGGCCAGCTGGTAACATTGTCCCCGCTCCAGGAACTTGCAGCGTATCTCATCGTCCCGGCAGTAGCTGATCGAGTGAGTACAAAAGGTCTGATCTCTGGCTCTAGATCGACCAAAGCATCGTGAGAAGACTGTCCCATCAGCTCGGTATGTAAGCTTCTTCCCCAGAGGCCAATGGCCTTCCCAGTCTCTGCCGTCGCTTGATCAATATCGTTCAGGGCGAGCTGCCAATTATCGTCCGGGATGGTGTATTCATTGTTATCATTCCAGATGCCTTCGATGCCGCATTTCCGAAGTGCTTTTACGCCTTCATACCACCACTGAAAGCCAGCCTTAGAGGTGAAATCAATGTGCCCGCCTTCACCACTCTCACCTCCACCTGCACTCCATAATCGAGCAATGCCAGATTTCTTGGTCCTTGGATCAGTGAAGAAAGCACTGGACGAAACCAGCTTGTCGTACTCCGGGTGGTTGGCAAGGACATAAGGCTTGACATTGGCGATAATGCGAATGCCTTCCTCGTGGTACTTTGCAACGAAGCCCTCTGGATCAGGGAACCTGTGCTTGTTCCACGTGAATACATTTCTCGTCTTGGGCTCGGTTTCGGCCACAGTGTATCCGGATGACATCTGGAAAGCCGAACATGGAATGTCATGTGTCTTAAGCTTTGTGGCGAAGTCCATCAAGGCCTCTGAAGCCCGTGGTTCATCCAGCATGGAATACTTCATACCGCCAGCAATGTAACCGAAAGCCCAGCGCGGCACAAGCTTGGGATATCCGACCAGGTCTGCATATGTCCTGACAACATCTTGAATTGTCTTCCCCACCATCAAGTACTCCTCCAACCCGCCGTAATCTTGACGGTAGACCTTAAAGTGGCCCCACAAGCCATCAATTTCGGCACCGATCGAGTATGTTCCACGACTGTGTGATGTTGAGAATATGCCAACGCAGCCATCTGGAGTGGCATTGATTAGGAGGGGGATATGTTTGTAGAGTGGATCTGTTCTGTAAACATCGTATCCGAAACAATCTGTTGCGGAAAGAACGAAGTGCCTATTCGACAGGTTCATGGGTGCAGCCTTCTCGCCAAGCCCAACGTGAAGTGTGTCTCTCTTGTATCTCGTGTAATGTGCGATTCCTGTAGAATCCACGCAGTAGGATCGGAAATCGAGGTCTCGGTGGATCGCCTTTTCTTGGCCGGCAGATTGAAGGGTGACGAGGGGGGGGCCGCTCCAATCGACGGTAGCGGTGACATCCCCAACTTCGATGGTCTTCTGCGAGGCGGTGGATTGGGTAGTAGGCTTCAGTCCGCCGAAGTCGACCACAGGGCGAGAGCAGCTCGGATGGGGAGGGAGAGGATGTGTTTTCGAGGAGAATGTTGTTCGAAAGAGGCCTGGTCGAATTGCTTCGAAGGTAAACTGGAAACTTGTGTCTCCATCAGTGGATTCGAGTTGGACGTTGGGAGCGCGATGCTCTGTGCCTCCGACATGCCCATTTACTTGAATGGGTATGTACTGCTGCGGTGTATACTCGTGTTGAGGCATCTGGAAGGATTGAAATACAGCGAGGTTTGAACGGAACAGGAGGAAGAAGAAGACGAGGAAGAGGAAGAGGAAGAGGAAGCGGAAGAAGCAAAGAGAAGCACCGCCTTATACTTGCCTACTCATCGCACTCCAACCCGACACCGGCAGCTGCACAGCTCCTGCTGCACGTGGCTCGGTGGCTCGGTGGCTCGGTGGCTCGAATTGGAATGCTCTTGTCGTCGTTGATGGTCGGGGTTTGAAGGAGCTGCAGCTTTCCCCGCGTTGGCTTCGGCTCTCGGGAAGAACTCCGACGCTAGCCCGCATACGGCGGTGTATCTCCAACCTCTCTCTCATTCCACGAGTCAGTCGACACCAACTTGCGGGGAGTCATGAACAGGTTTGTGAAGAGGCCTGACGGAATGGGCAGCGCAGCCAGTCGGCTCGTCTGGCATCCCCCTTCTTTCTTCGCACATGTCATCCGAAGTCCGATGACCCCAGACCCCAATCCTCTCCGGATTGACCCCGGAAGAAGCTAAGGTGCTCCGTCGCTATGCAATCCACTCCCTCGGGTTTTCTTTAAGAAGGGAAGATGGAACCTCATTCCCTCTTCTCTCTTCAGCTTGTTCGTCCTTTCAATCTCTTTTCCTCTGATTTGATATTGAGTGGCAATAGTTGCTCTTGATTGTCGAACCTCTTGACCCCAGAAGCTTTGCTGTATAGCCCTGCTTCCAACATGGACTCCAAGACAGACCCCGAGTCAGCCCAACAGGCTACTATCGAAACCGTCGAGGACCCTTCCAAGTACAATGGCTTCAACGGAGAACGCCATGCCGGCAAGGACCGCGCTGCTGAGCTCCTCGGAAACAGCAGCGAGCGTGTTGTCGTCTCGGAAGTAGACAACAAACGGATTCTCCGCAGGATCGATCTCGCTATTCTCCCAGTTATGCTGGGGGTCTACTTCCTTCAGCAACTCGACAAGTCCACTCTATCATACGCAAGTGTGTTTGGTCTCATCGCAGATGCCCACCTCGGAGGCCAAGACTACTCCTGGCTAGGATCCATCGTCTACATTGCCCAACTTGTCATGCAACCAGTTATTGCCTACTTCTTGGTGAAGCTCCCAACAGGCAAATTTGCTGCCTGTATGGTACTCTGCTGGGGCATAGTGTTGAGTTGCATGGCTGTGGCGAAGAACTTCAAAGGGTTGCTTGCTACGCGATTCTTCCTCGGCTGCTTCGAAGCTTCCGTTGGTATGTACCTCCAAGCTTTGTTATTGCCCCTTTCTGACATACCACATAGCCCCAACCTTCATTGCCATTACGCAAATGTGGTGGAGACGTAGTGAACAGACGTACCGAAACGCTTCGTGGTATGCCATGAACGGTGTGACCAATATGGTGAGTTCCTTCATCGACACCGAAGATCAAATCTGACTCTGTGATAGGTTGGAAGTCTTCTCGCATACGGCTTAGGTCATATCCACTCGGAAAAGCTACATTCTTACCAGATCATTTTCCTTGCCTGCGGGCTCCTCACCGTCGTCTTCTCGGTTCTTGTCTTGTAAGTCTGATATCAGGTAGAAAATTAATCTCCATGCTGACTTCCAAAGCCTCTTCCTGCCAGACTCCCCTGTCGATGCCAAATTCCTTAATGACCATGACAAGGTCCTCGCCGTAGAGCGTCTCAGAGATAATCAAATGGGTGTTGTGTCAACCGAATGGAAGTGGGAACATGTGACCGAGAGTCTACTTGACATCAAGACCTGGTGTTGGTTCGCACTTATCTTCTCCATCTCGTAAGTGATTGATCTTAGAAAGGTTGCTTTCAATATACTCACTGGTTCAGAATCCCCAGCGGAGGTATCACAACCTTCGGACCCTTGATCGTCAACTCGTTTGGCTTCAACCCCTTCAACACGATCCTTCTCAACATCCCCTTCGGAGCAGTTCAAATTGTTGCTACCATGGGAGGCGCTGCTTTCGCCACTTGGACGAAGCGTAAGGGACCAGCCCTTGCCCTGCTCTGTATCCCCCCTATCATCGGCATCGTCATGTTGTTGTGCATCAAGCACACGACTAGAAACCGCGGTCCCCTCCTCGTCGGATACTACCTGGTACGTTTTTGACCTACACTAGGTGCATTCTAGTCTATGCTGACATCCATCTCAGATCTCTTTCTACCCCGGCATCTCCCCCCTCATCTACTCCTGGTCCTCCCAAAACACCGCAGGCGAAACAAAAAAGAAGACTACAACGGCCATCCTCTTCATTGGCCAGTCCGCGGGCAACATAATCGGCCCGCACCTCTACACCACAGCCGAGAAGCCGCTCTACCGCCGCGGCCTGATCTCCAACCTCGTTCTCTTTGTCGTTCTCATCATCATCGTCACCTTCACCACCCTCTACCTCATGTTCCTCAACAAGTGCCACGCATCACGCAGGGTAGCGCTCGGAAAGAGCGAGGTTATCGCTGACAGGAGTATGATGAATAGTCAAGAGAGGGCGATCAGTGATCAGGTTGATGAGGCGAACGGGGAGGGGGCCTGGGCGAGTGGGGGCGAGAAGGCCTTTGATGATATTGCGGATTTAAAAAACGAAGACTTTATTTTTGTCTACTAGGACATGTTGATAAATAAATGTATGTATGTATCTCTCTGTTTTGGGATATGCTGTGAATTAAAAAGCGGGCAAGCGCGATCAATATTAATATAAAAATCAATGATTTCTTCTGTCTTTGGTCCATTGAGTGAGTGAGTGTGCCTTGGACAGGGAGAGTTTAGTTACATTTTATCAATGTTTCGCTTAAGTGCTTCACGGAATCCTGTATTCTTATGACCTTGAGAATAGAAGGCAAGAGTGGCTTGCGAAAGTGAAAGACTAGGACTTGGAGGGGCGAATGCCTTACGTGGAAGCTTTGTTGCATGCTGTGATCAATGCCCCAGGTTTTCTAATACAACAAGATTGCACTCGAGGTCGAAACAAAATCGTAGCTATTGCAGACCTCTACCTATTGTTGCAACTTTGTAATTTCCACATTGAGTGTCTCGTATAGGTATGGCTTCTTAGCATGGGATCTTATTACGAAAAATGCGACATGTAACAAGACTTGAAAAGGCACAATTCACTTGGCAAGGAAGATTTCAAATGAGAGTCCTGTTCATTCGAGTGGAATCCATGAAAATGATCTGGTGGATTCAACATTCGACAGCAACCAACCTCCCATCTACTCCCCTCTCCTTGCGAAATTCTAACTCATCACAAAAGATCTGTAAAACTTTCTCATCCAAACAAGGAAATGCGCTCTATCGCAAAGTATCTATATGCCCCCATTGCTACTTTGTCAACACATTATCTATATCAGCGAAATCGGAATTGCGGCACTGGGCAGTCTATTCCGTCCAGAGAGCTGTTCGAGCCGGGGACAGCGATCAATATCCGGAGGTGGATGTCTAGGTCTAGATGAATCCTATGTGATGTCGTTTGCGGAGTAGTTGGATGGAATCACCACTCAACCACAACGACGCACCCCTCGACGCCCCTCTCCTCTCTCAAGTCCAACACATCGCGGAAGAGCGCCAAGCGTTCGCACCGACCATCAATAAAGCAAACTCTGACCTCCACGCGCGTCGCCTGCAAGCGGAGGGAGCCAACGCCTTGCAAGCTTCTCTCCAGCTCGCGGACAAGGTGGCTGTACACGTTTGCTATTGTTGCTGAAATCGGAATAGTAGCGACAAATTCATGTCTGATGTGGAGAGTGCCGTTGGGACAGGTTGATGCAACGAGGGCTCGGAGACGGATATGGAGCGAGGATGGAGTGAAGATGGGTTGGTTGTTGCAAAGGCAACGGGGGATGTGGCGTGCCTCTCGATCTTGGAACTGCCCGAAAGGTGAGTTGAAAGGAGAGTTTATCGGTAGACAAGAATGGAAAGGACACTGAGCCAGTTCGCGTCTCAGGAGAATGTTTTCGAGTTCTGCGTCCGATTCTTGAGCAGAGGTGAAGGGGCTGAGGTGGTGGAGGGGCGAATGGAAATTCCCTGGTCCTGACGAGAGGGAACTGAATGCTCGGAATGGAGATTGGTAGTTGTTGATTGGCAACATTTCGTTGAATTTGCTGTCATTTCTGGTTGATGAATTTGCATTTTGAAAACGAGAAGGGGCCGGGGAGGTGAAGGGAATATGGGAATTGAGGGCGAAAGAGCATACACTAGCAAACGGATTCAAACAATGATATTGGTTCAAGTAAGAATCCTGTTTCAGGAATTGGAGGAATGCTTTTGTGAGACATGGTGAGACGAGACAAAAGGGATGGCTTGATGTGTTCGTGAACTGCAGCTTACCGGGAGATAAAGGGTATGAAGGGAGAACAGATGCCAAAACTGGACACAGCAAGTGCAGAAGGCCTGGTGATTTGTTTTGTGCTTAAAATGGAGAAAGGGGATGCACAGTGTAAATAATGAATAGAGTAGAGTAGAGTAGTGGCCCCTACTCATATTCTATTCATCAAAAATTCCCACTACTTATATTCTACTCATATTCTAATCAAGCTATTCATGAATATTCATGAATACTTTGAGTAGTATGCACGTGATATGCGCACGTGACGGGCTAGCCTTATTAGGTAAAGCCCCGGGCATTCCCGCTCTAGCGTCACCTCGCCACCCAATCAAGTGGTGGCGGCGCTTAGTAAGCGAGCCGAACCTCTATAATACTTCTAGAATTACCTCGACTTAAGAACTTAATAATAATAGCAATCCTATTAGTAAAAATCAGAGACTAGGGAACTAGAATCTCCGAAATAAGGAGATTCTTTCTAATTAGAAAGATAATTAAGAAGCCCTTAAAATATTAGAACTTTCTAATTCTAATAAAGACGGCTTAGATATATATATTACTAATAAGCCTTCTAATATAGAAAAAAAGAAAGAAAATAGGAAAGTAAGTAAAATATTCTTAAATTCTAATACTAATATATATATAGGTTAAATCTTTAGATTATTAAAAGTCTAATATTACTAGATTTCCTACTTATAAGGCATATAATAGCAGGGTAATATATAAGTAATTAAAATAAGTAAACTATAGAATAATACTTATAAGTATAACTAATTCCAAGAATTAGTTCTAGTAAAAGACTAATTAATGCCTCTTTCTAAAGCTAGAAGTATTTCCCTATATATTCTCTAGTATTTAGCCAAGCTTATAAAGTACTTTACTTAACTAGGAAATATAATCCCATATAATTCGTATAATTTTAATTATAAACTTTACCTAAAATAGGAAATTAGATCTATAATATCTAATACCTATTTATATATTATTATATATACTTATTATATTAACTTCTCCTCTAGGCCCTTATCCCCAAAAGGCCTAAGAAAACTATAAATAGCTTTATAAATAATTCCCTAAAACTTTTCTAGCTACTAGTTCCGTAATAGGGATTTGATTGTTATATGGATTTCGGACCATATATAGGCGTTGGATGCGTGAGTGGAGGTAAAGAGGGTAAGAAGCTAAATAAGTAGAAGTAATAATCTTAAGACTCTCAGTACTAGTAATGAAATAATACAAATGGTCAAAAATAAGGGGCTCCGAAGGTTAATGTATTGGGAAGGCTAATCGTATATATAGACGGAGGTCTTATGCAACCCCTTAAACTAGTACTAGTATGCCTGGGAAGCAGGACACGTAACGGTAGTTACGGGACAAGAGAGAAAAAACCCTACTATAGTTCTTTTTAAAAACTTCCTATAATTGCCTTATTATTATACTAGATAATGAAATTAAGAATATAGTTTACTAATCCTGCCTAGTTAACTTATAAATTACCTCTAGTAATTTCCTCTTATAAAAATAGTATAGATATAGTATATATTATTAGATATAAAGCTTTTCCGGTCTTCTAATTAGTTTATAAATCCTAACTTAGCCTCTATTTACAAATAAATTATTACTTTATAGGCTTAAAAGCTTAGAAAAATTAATCTAATTTTCTAGTTTATTTATAAATTCCTTCTTTAGAATTTTCTAGATATTCCTAATATAAAGCCGGTTCCGAATTCATAATTACTATTTAGGGAAAAAGTATTATAAAAAGGCCTCTCTTTTCCTACTAACTAATCTTCTATTTCCTTAATTATAATAATATATCTAGCTTCTTCTTATTTCTTATTTTCCTTCTTTAAGCCTTCTTTAAGCTCCTTTAAGTTCCTTTAAGCTTTATTTAAGCTTTATTTAAATTCTCTTCTAATTCCCTCTTTTACTTCTTTATTTATTAAAATAAATACTTCTCTTAGTACTTATTAGCCTATTACTACCCGTTTAGCTAATACTTTTATATTCTTAATTTACCCTTATTATCTTTAATATTTCAAGAATATTACTAAGTTTCCCGATCTTACTTATATTAAGAATAATAATTACTTAATATATAATTACTACTATTTCAAGAATAAGAAATATAATTCTATAAGTTATAAATTTCTTTATTTATTTCCTATTCTAATACTATTTAAGATTCCTTAAATATATATAATATAATTAAATCGCCTTTTTTAAGTTATTAATATATATAAATATTTTCTTTATTCTTTACCCGAAAAAAAGAAGGCTATTACTACTTTTCTTCTATACTAAATTATATATACTTCTCGTATTAAAGCTATTATTTAAGGCTAATAGATTTCCTTAATAATCCAAGAAATAGATTAAGTAATTCTTACTAGCTTAGTATTAGTATAAAATACTTTTAATAATATAATTAATATTCTTTAGTATTAAATAAGCTTATTTCTTTCTTATTTCTTACTAATAGCTAATAGCTTTATAGGCTAATTTATTATCTATTTCTCGAGAGAATTCTAATAAAAATAATAATAAGAATAATAAAAAGTAATTATAAGAATAAAGTATTTATAAGATATAGAAATTAGAGTTTTTAAAGTTCTTAATAATTTTTATATAATTTTTTCAAGAATAAATACATGGTTTTTAATAGTTTTCTAATAAAAGCATTTATTTTTTATATTTCTATTTAGCTAATAGTATTATAATATTATTCTTTTCTAAGTATTTTTATAATTCTTAAGCTATATTCTCTAGATTACTTAGTAGTTCTCATATATTATCTACTAGTAAATAGCCTTTCTAATAAATAAGATATTTTCTTTCTTTTCTACTTTTTTTATAAGCTATAATAGATTTTATTTCAAATTTCTTTTTACCCTTAATCTTAACTAGTTCTAGTTCTATTATAATACTAGCTTGCGGGTACTATAGCTCTAAAAAAGAAATATAGAAAATATTATAAATCTAATATAATAATAGTAATTTCAAATAATATATCTATTTATATATTCCTATAATTTCTAGAATTTTAAAGGAACCAAGATATCTATTTATTAGCTTTATACTAGGTTATAGCTATTAAATATTCTTTATATAAAGTATAACTCTATTATATATATTAAACTTCTTATTAATATATTTATTACTTCTTACTATTACTTTTCTAGTACTTCTTTTTTTATTTAAATTCTTTAAATTCTTTCCTATATTACTAGTATCTCTTTTTCTGGAATATTATTCTTAATATATAGTTTAATACTAGAATAAAATTCATATAATATATAAAATAGAGAAATCTCTATTATTAAATATATAAAGTTATTATATATAAATTCTATAAAAATAAGCT